TACTTTCAATGGCGTTATGAAGTTTACTGGAATCATTTTCGCCATCTTTCTTCTTCGTTTCGTTTGTCTTTTTGGCATCAGCCTGATAAAGYTAAATTATGATAAAAAATATACAAAATTACGATCCTTGTAATGTAAGTCATGACGCCATCTTGCCATGACAAGTTTTCTTTCTTACCTTTTGAGATTTCTTGGCGGGTTTTTCTTGGGCTTTATCTAGTGTAATCATACAAAGTGAGTCACATGTGCTGGCAATATCATTTATTGCTGTCGTTGAACGCGTGCAAGAAAGCAAAATAATCTTTAAAATTACCTTTTAACTTTGGCAAAAGAATTTTCCTGAGATCCGCACTACACCGTTTTTCAACCTCAAAGTATAGCTTTGGTTTATGCTGAGTATTGTATGCGGATTCTAAATCCTTCATAGTCGCCTGGACGAAAAGAAAACCACTTTTAATATGTCGTACTGTTCACGTTAGAGACGAAACATAGATACACGACTGTGTGATGGTGTTTCTAGTGTATAAAACAAACAAAATAAAGTCGATAAACCCACCTCATTTGTACCAGCAATAGTTCTCGCTACTGTTGTAGTATCTCCTTCCTGTAAGGCGCTGTGAAGCTTATTAACCTGTGAACCTAGAGGATCTCTCACACACCTGACTAAAGTTAAAAGACCGTTCTGTAAATCKCCTTCCATCTCGCTTGAAATCGTCTCTTCTATGTCGCACTTCGCCCACTAAAAAAGCAAAGAAAGAAACAAGAAATTACATGAAATTACATCATAGTCGAAAAGAGTAGGCACTGGATATTTCTCAAAGTACAAGCAACTAAAAAATGTTAACTACCTTTAAGTAATCAGGAAACATCGCTTGCAGTTGTGCTGAGCTTCTTGTAGTGAATATTTCAATGAACGAGCTTTCGTCCGTCCCCCATTTCTTGATGCCAGCCTGTATAGACGTACAAGTATAAATGATGTCCGCATTATAAAATAAACTGATATATCTCAAGGTATTTACCTCAATCAGCGTCTCAGCGTCTTTGTGAGCTTGGTCCTCATTCACTTTAGTGACCTCATCACGTTTACCCTGGAAGAAATAACAGTGAAATTGGAAACCGAGACATGGAATAGATAAGTGGGATAGGCAAAAAAAAGGTGTAAATAGATAGAAATCAATAGACTCATAATCATACGAAATTCAATAGGGCAGATCCATACTTGCAGTAGTGCAACCAGGAGATTTTCAAAATCGCCACTAGTGTCAGACTTTACATCGTCCTCGAGCGTGCTTTCGTATACTAAAAAGAGCAACATAATGATACGATTCACAACCATGATATTGTTAGATAATATAGAAATAAAGGAAAGCTATAATAGTGCTGGGAAGGAGGGGATTGATAGATAGACTGGAAGATTGTGTGGTACAAAAAATACACATCAAATTATGTGTTGTTACTTACGTTTCTTGTAGTCATTCTTGATTGCGTCGATTTCCTGCAATGAAAAAAAAATTGCAGCATTAAGATCAGATAGATTGGTTGACTGACAGCAATCGTTTGATTGATGCCGCATTGATTGCTGGAATGAGTGGTTGGTTGGTTGGTTGGTTGGTTGTTTAGTTGGTTGGTTGGTTGGTTGCTGGGTTGATTAGTTGATTGGTTGGTTGGTTGGTCGGTCGGTCGGTCGGTCGGTCGGTCGGTCGGTCGGTTTGTTGGTTGATTGGTTGGTTGGTTAGTTTGCTGGTTGGCTATAAGTATCAAGAGTCGTAAATTAGTTCCATCTGATCCACTTACCGAATTGGTTCTCGTGCATAAAATTTCAATTAATACCGTCTCATCTGTACCAATACCCT